TTTAATTAGTCAACGAATCCTTTCATTTTTTTAACAAATTGCATTTGTTAGAATTTATTTTTTTTTACATTATTCACCTTCCCAAGGCCGAGGGGTCACTATAGTCAAGGAGGCTACTCATTTTTTTGTGTTTTTATTTTTTATTTTTTGTTGTTAATTGTAGTACAACCCTCTCTCAACTCTTTAACTCAGAAACACGAACTTTGGCAAGCAAGGCCGCTGCGCGGAGTAACTAAGTTTATTTCGCAAAAAATTTTGTAATAAAAAGCTTTTTAATTAAGTAGCTTTTTCTTTAATATTTTTACTTTAAGTACTTAACTTGATATAATGTAAAAAAGAAGAGAATATAAATTAAAATAAAAAGTATTATAAAGACTCTAATTTCTCTAAGAGAGTCTTACAGACAAACAAGTATATTCTTTGGTTTTCTTTTAAAAAAAAGAATATTCTGAATTCTAAGTGTTCAAAATAAATAATTGTATTCAATTGTACCGTAATTAACCAAAATAAGCTTTGCAAATTTTTTGCTTGCAAAAAGTTCGATAACTGCATCAAAGTCTAGTTTCCTTGCAAGTGGCGCCTCAATCGCTAGTCTTTCCAAATTAGAAAGTCGATCTTGACACATCGTAGAACGTAAAACATTTTTAACTCTTGCAAGCGTACTGAAAGAGCGTTCTGCTTGTGCAACGGTAACTGCAAGTGTACAAAAAATTCTAAGAACAACTAAAATGTTTGGGAAAGATCAATGAAAGATCAAGCTTCAACTCATGAAGTTTGTTTAATAATTGAAACGGCGATAATTGTATTATGCCAAGATTTGATGCGTGAATTGCCTTTAAATGTTCTAACTCGTCTATTAATTCAAGAGAAACATTAATGCTGTATTTAACGCAAATAGATGAAGCTTTCTCACGCAGCAGATCTTTATCTAATGTCATGTATTTCCATACAACACCAAATGTTTCCTCAAGATCTTTGGCTGCCTCAAAACGTTGATTCATATTACCAATGACACAGTCTAAAAGAACATAAAAAACATCGCGCTTGAAACAAAATTCTGCACTGGTGTTGCCTAATTTATAATTCTGTTCCTCATCTGAAAATCTAGCTTTTCGGCTGCGTTTTTTCTCCGGGAATATGTCATTGGAAACCATTCCCAGATTTTTGGCAACAAGTTTACATTCATTTAAAATTGAATCCCAGTTGTTTCTCAATAACAAGAGGTCATCAATTAAGCTTTTTAAATTTAAAACCTCCACATCTAAAGTTGCATCTCTGGCTTGCAGAACTGTGTTTCTGTAATTGATGCTTGTTAGAACTTTAAACCAAGTGCTTGCGAGTATAATGCACTCAAATGAACCCAAGTATTTCTCAATACGTTTGATATCTGATCGAGTCTCGGCAGTAAGATTTAGCTTTTTTAAGTCTTGTATAGCACTCTTTAAACGAGGAATATGTTCTGCAAAAGATTTTACACTTTCAATCCTGGCTGACCAACGTGTATCTGACATGCTATGCAAAGAGCATCCAATGTTTTCTTTTAAAATTTGCCATCTTTGCGGGCTAGAGCCCGCTAGAACAAGTTATAAGTCTTTTGCACAACAAGCTAGAACAAGTTATAAGTCTTTTGCACAACACCGAAGAAGTATAACCTCTGCACAGCACTCTGCGGCATGGACACCACACAGATTTAAGTTATGACAAGCACATGGAGAATAAATTGCCAATTGGTTCTCTTTAATTATCTCTGCTTGTGCTCCTTTATATTGACCGCTCATGTTGCTACCGTTGTCATAACCTTGACCACGACAGTCTATTATTGGCATATTGTGTTTTTTAATAACACATTAATTCAGCAATAGCTTTCCCCGTTTTCTGATTGCAGTCAACAAACTCTAGAAATCGCTCTTGAACTTCGTAGAGACTATTTTCTTCATTTAAATAAACATAACGCAATATAAATATAGTTTGTTCCATATGTTCTGAATCAGGGGTTGCATCAAAAAGTATTGAGTAATATTTTGCTGCTTCTTGTTCACTTAGAATAACGTCTAATACTTTTTTGGCACAACACTCTATAAACTCATTTTGTATTTCCGGTGAAAAGTAATTTGCTTGTTGTCTTCTCTTCAATTTCTGCGACTTCATCACTTTGTTCAGATGGTCTTTCAAGACAGAAATTTAATGGCTCAAGAGCTCTAAAATGCCCAAAAAATTGCCATTTGCTGCAACTCCAATTAAATCACTTGTTCCTCTAAATCCCAAACCTCGTTCGGCTAGAAACAATGTGACATCTAAAATTAGGCGAAGAACCTGTTTCCACTGTGATGCTTGATTCTTAATGGTCTGCAGCAGCATAATATTGATAGTGGAATTAGAGCCAATACTTTTTTCCAATAGCCGCCATTTAATATAACAATATTTATGGTTGCTGCTGTTTTGATGCTCTGGAATTTTGTCATGTAATTTTTTCCATTTTCTTTGAAAACAATACCCAGATATAATTGTTAAACGTGAGCGACTTGCTGTTGGTAGTTTGCTAAAAAGGCGACAAGGAAAACAAAATATTGATTGTTTAACTTTGCTCCAAACAAGCCAATCACGGGAAACATATTCTTTATTTTTCATACTTGTATGTAGTATACAAACAGGAAATGAATGTCCGTTCACATCTTTTGAAAATTGAGATGGGATCTTTTCTGGACCCCTACGAACTGCTTTCTCAATTTCAGAAGCATTTGGTCTTTCATTTTTTAGACTACCAACATCAAAGTCAAGCAGTTTTGTTTTAGTAATTTTATTATCAGTTATATTTGATTTATAATTCTCAGAGATATTGTTGGTAGGAACTAAAAGATTGCCGGGCTCCACGTCATCTTTATTTTCTATGTTATCAGGATCTGGAAAGTTGGCAGTCACATTAATTAAATCTGCAGCTTGTTCAACAACGTAGTCGTTATTGTTAAAATTAGCTTCTACATTATTATATTCATTTTCTAAATCTTTCTCTTTCGAAGACACTGAAAATCCATAACTTTGAAGTAGAGTTTGTTTTTCATTTACATTTTTCAATCTCGACAGTTTTTCTTTCCTTTTTTGAGATCCAGATTTGTGATGGAGTTCATTTTTTATTTGACTACTAAATAAGATTTTATTAATATAAAAGATATGTCATTGATATATCGATGGTATGTATTATAAAGCAATATGTGCAACAAACACTCCTAAACATTAGCGTAGTGAGGGGAGACCAAAGCGGAAATGGCCCCTGTCGCGAAGGCTTTAAGAGGTCTAAAAAATTGAGAAGCAAAAAAAAAAAAAATGAAACCAATTTTAACATAAAAAGTAATAATTTCTTACTTTTATTGTAAAAAAGCGCTTTTATTTCATTTTCGCCCCGGTCGCAAAAATATTCGCTACGTCACTGATCTTAAGCGTCATATAATTTATTAAATAAGGCAATTTTTATAATTGAATGTTTTATACCTTATAACAAAACTCCATATACAACTGATTAAACTTTAACATAAAAATAAACTAAACTGTAGAATCAAATAGACAATTTTCTAGCACTTTGTCTTTTATTTTAAAATACCACAAGTGATTTAATGTTCTGCAAATAATCTAAAGTACTCGAATCATACAAACTATAAATGCTTCCAAATAATGTGTTCAAAGCATATTTTTTACTACATAATTTTTTTCTTGAGATATTTTCCTTTTGATTTATTTCCGAATAACTTAGCTTATAAAATTTATAAAATATTTATTATGTTTTGCATTTAAATTTAACGTTTACGGTGATACTATTGCTAAAAACTGTAATTAGAACAACCAATCCAAATGCAGTATATTTAAAAAGGCAAATACAATACTTTATAATTCACAAGTCCGGGCCCTTGAACAGAGCCGGGCCCCAGGGCAATATACCTCCTTGACCCCCCCCCCTCTATACGGCCATGCACTTAAGAAGCGAGTTTTGAATGAGTCGTCACAAAACCACTAACCCCTCCTCCCCCTTTAGCGTGACGTAATTTATGGACGACCCCAAAAAAGTTGCGGTGATAGACCTTTTCATAAATATCTGCGACGGAGAAAGGAGATTCTTCAGTGTTTGTAAAAATCAAAACAAACATAGCGTTTACCTATAATTTTGTAAGGCTTAGATGACAAATGGTGGTGTTTTCTCTATATAGTTTTACAAATTTTATTTGTAATTACTATATTATTATTTTTATAATAGCTGTATCAAAAATAAATAAACTATGGAGATACCTTCATTCCAAAAGCCGTCAAAATCTACAGTTTGTTCAAAACAAACTAAAAAATGGGTTGATGAAGAACGTTTTTTTGGCAAGCATATTTATGTATATGTATATGTGTATATATATATATTATATATATATATATATATATATATATATATATATATATATATATATATATATATATATATATATATATATATATATATATATATATATATATATATATATATATATATATATGTATATATATATATATATATATATGTATAAATATATATATATACATATATATATATATATATACATATATATATATAAATATATATATATAATATATATATATATATATATATATATATATATATATATATATATACAAGGCCGGCGCGATAAGGGGTGTGGGGGGTGTGACACCCCCCCCCCCCCCCATCAATGATTTTTAGTCGGCAAACTGGACCCTTAGTCGGCAAATTGGACCTAGTTAGTCGGCAAATGTGGACCCCCTTTCAATATAGGTTAGACAGTCGGCAAATGTCGTCATGACAGTTGGAGAATTTTAGAAAACGAGGACCTTTTTTTTTTTTTTTTTAAGTCGGCAAAAGTTGTAATGGCACCCCCCCCCCCACGTGACACCTACTCGCGCAGGCCCTGTATATATATATATATATATATATATATATATCATGGCCTACTTAAATTACACGGCCTGATTTGTTGCATTTTCCGTAAAAAATTAAGAGGCCAGTTTTGCGTCTCAAGTATAAAAACTTAATTTTCGTCATGGTTATGCACTATAATCGGTTTATTCTTATTTTATTAAAATGGTTTAATAATAGTTCGATTTTATTTGAGTACTTACCTTATTTTAAGTTGGATTTTTTGTAAACTGATTGCCTGCTTCAGTTTATTCCAGTAGCACAGAATACTGAAATAGGCTTTCAGATAACTATATCAACGCACACCAACATGCTACTAAAAATGACCTTACATGTTGCTAAGATTGCCTTCATTGAAAAAAAAAATCAAAGGTTTGTAGTTTTGTATTTTTTATAATTGAAATTAAATGAAGAAACAGCTTTTTACTTGGAATATTTATTTTGTCTTTGTCTTTATTGGAATTCTTTTACTCGATCTTTTCTCAATGAATATGTAACTTCTTTTTGCAAATTATTATAAAAAATGTTATTAAAAATACGAGATCTATATTTGATTCCCACTTTTGGTGCTTTTCATTAGTAAAATTGTCAGAATGACTGCAATGTTTTATTAGAATAAGAGAAATAACATAAAATACTAAACAGAAGACAATTTTAGTTAGACAGGTTGAATTGGATATATAGGTTCTTCTCTGTATAAAGTAACATTTATTGATCATAAGTTTAACATCAAAATATTTTTGTTAATTTTTACAATTATTACTTGCTTTAGTATATAAATCTGTGCTATCTTCAAAAAGTTGACACTAGTAGGCAACTAAGCTAAATCTTGCATAATATATTTTTAATGATTTTTAATAATTCTGATAAATATTTTTTGGGAAAATCTGTGAAAATCTTTTTACTAATGCATGTTTCTAAAAGACTCACAAAAAGTCTACTACTGGTCATTTAACTATACTTACTAAAACCTAGCTTTAAAAAGATTACTTTGTGAATTATAAACTAAGAACAACTGCAAAACTTCTTCAAGAAAATCATTCATAAGAGATACAGTTGCTTGTAGTGTTGTTATTAGAGCATTAATGTAAAATATTTATTAATGTAAAGTTTTTTGGTTAATGTAAAGCATTTTATTTTGATTAAATTTCAGTACAATTTGCAATTTCTCTATAAAATGTAGGTTTATTATCACCTTTTAAAGCAGCATTGCTGAGTTTGATTGGATAAATTAAGTTTCTGCTTTGAATTAAGTATGATAAATAACTTATAAAATAATGATTAAAAGTGTGTTGCATTATTTCTTTCAGGAAAATAACTCTAAATTACAGCTGCAGTTGTTTCATCAAATATTGTCAATGTTGAAAACTTGTTTGTTGTTTCCAAAATATGTGACTTGATAATTAATTTTAATTGCCTTTTTAATAATTGTTCTTTTAATAACTTTAAGAAATGTATTCCCTGCAATGCAACCAGCAGTAACTTTAACATAGTCTCTGGAAAAATCAAATGAAAAAGAATATTTTTTTTTTTTTTTTTTTTTTGCGTTTAATAAGTTTTTTCTTACATTTTTTATAAAATGAAGTATATCAAATAAGTAGGTTTTATACACTCCTTTTCTAAAATAAATGATAAATTATTAGTTTTCCATCACTAATATATGCTTAATGAAACTATAAAAATGCATTAACATTGGTAGAATGGTTATCTATCACAACAGCTTACCATTCTAACTATCTTAAATTCAGATTGGTGTATTGAGGTAATACACTCATCAATTTCTTTTTTCAAACATAAACCTGTTATGTAAACTTTAGGTGAGGATTTTAAGATAAAAACAAAAACAACTTCTTTATAAAGATTATTTTCTCAATCTTCATCAAGTTGTTTACAACTTTGATAGAGCTGCTTTTTGGAAGTACGTCTTAACCATAAGAAGCAGATAATCACTTGATAACGAATTTTTTTCAATAATATTTTTAATATAATATAGTTTTTTAATTTGTTATTTTCACCACTCCGAAACCATTTTAATAAAGAAATATGAAATATGATAAGCATTTATTAGGCAATGAAAAATTAAGAATTTTATTAACAGATATTGAGTTCAAAACAGTTGGTATGCCTGATATTTCTTGGCCTGTTTTGTTGCATTTTAATTGCTGTATGTATGAAACATGCAACATAGTAGAGTATTTACATTTCAAAACATTGTTTCGCAGTGTAAATATTTTAAAGAAAAATCGATGTTTTATACCTAATAATTGCAATTATAACAAATACAAAAATACAAACCTTTAAAATTATTTCCAATGGAGATTTGTGGGTAGTTTTAGCAACATGTAAGGTTATTTTTAGTAGCATGTTGCACACCAACATATTTTTTTTTTTTTATTTGCATTCACTTCCAACAAGGCTGCAAGCAACCACTATTAAGTTGGGAGTTACTAGGGAAAAAAAAGAACAGAGTTATAGAGCAAGGAAACGGTTGACAGAAGACTTGAAAAGTTGAAGGTTGTATGAGTCAGGAAAACATGAAGATGGGAGAGAGTTCCAAAGGATTGAAGTGCGGGGAAAAAA